GTTGACCTAGAGTGTGAAAATCTGGGCGTAAAATTTTCCGCTCTTCCTCCAAAATCTGGACTCAAAACTAGGTTTTTCCTCTTAAAAAATCATCATGGCCTTCAAATGACCTTGAAGGTCTACCTTGAGATCAAGGTCAGTAGTACAGGAAGGTGACCTTAGATAGGTAGATAATCGCATCCATTGATTAAAATGATTCACCCTGTATAAGACGTTCCCCTCAAAACAAGAAGTTGTGTAATGTATTAACATTATCAGAAAATGATTTTAAAATAATATATATTAACAGACATCCTTGCTCATATTTTAATATATAGCACACCAAGAACAGCTTTGCCCGCGAATTGCGCACAACGAACGTAATATGAGGTAGAAGGACCATACCCGAGATATATGAGATGACAAACAATAACAAACTGTACTTCTCAAAGTTCAGCTACAAAAGAAATGGGCACAATTTCTGGTTTTGTCTACTGCTGTTAAGGTCAAAGCTACTTTTGGCGCACTGTTCCTATATATTTAAAGTCCTAAAAATATGGGGTTACATTTCTTACTAATTTCACATTGTTAGTGTACAATCATCATTGTCCATGTCCACCATATCATTCATATATTTGGTACCAAATGTTTCTGTCTCACACTCCTTCAATATGTATACCGTTCCTACTTAACAAAATCTTTATTTCTAGATATGTCGAGGAATTAAAGAGACTTATGTCTATGGCTCTCTTTGCACAGCTGCTAATAAATGTGTTATTAATATGTACCAGCTTGTATGCATTATCATCAACGTAAGTTCAAAAATAACTGAAATTCTTTGTTCGAGTACCTATATCGTTTCTATAAAATGAACAAAATTTCAATTATTCCAGAAATATTACATTCATTGATGGGATTCGAAGTGGACTTATATCTTTATCTCTACTATTTGAAACATTATTCTTATATGGATTACCATCACAACTTCTTACAGATCAGGTATCCATAGTCTTTTAGTTGACTCACTGAAAGCATGACGTTTTAGATTATTATAAAATATTGTTTGTGTCCGTATTGATTAGTATAATTAAGGTTTAATCAAAAACTAACACCTTGTGATACATACATACATACGAGGTGTGAAATTAAGTAATGAGACAAGTCAGTATTGTCTCCTTCAAAATAACTTCCTTGGGAAGTCACACAGCGCTGGAGACGGTTCTTCCATTCCTCATAACAGTGCTGGAACTCATATGCTGGAATAGCCTTCAGCTGGTCGGTTACAGTCGTTTGAATGTTTTCTATGATCCCAAAATGACGTCCCTTGAGGCGATTTTTCAATCTCGGGGAAGAAAAGTCACGAGGACTCAAATCAGACCAATAAGGAGGTTGAGGAGCCACATGAATGTTGTTACTGGCTAAAAACTCGTTTACTGAAATGGCTGTATGACAAAGCGCATTGTAGTGATGCAACATCCAGTTCTTTATGTTTGGTCTCACACGCATGACCCTTTTTCGAAGTTTTCCAAGAACCTCTCTGTAAAAGTGTTGATTTACTGTGGAGGCACAAACTCTTTGTGCTTGGCGAGCTAGAATTGGCCTTGGGTCATGAGACTTGAAGTGGCCAGGTCAACTCAAAATCAGTCTCATCACCAGTAATAACACGTGTCATAAAATGGAGACCATTTTCAATCAATTCCAAAAACTCAAGACACCTTTCTCTCCTGCTGTCCTTTTGTTCCTGAACAAACAAATGACTAACAAGTTCAAACTTGTACTGAAGGTTCTTTACATGTTAACCTACCACCCTTCCAAGTCCCGTCCCTGCAGTGCTGCTAGATCGGGCACTACGTTGCCAATCTCATTACTTAATTTACACACCTCGTATATGTATCTGGCAGTAAATAAATAAACTCTCTCTCTCTCTCTCTCTCTCTCTCTCATTATAATGCTACCATCGGAGACGATTTATTTTTGCAATTTAATTACAATCTAATTATTATTAATCAATTAATTTAATGCATTCCAACTAGAGTATTTCAAACGAATGTTGTTAGATACATTTATTTTAGTCTGAGGAGATACGAAATTCCATATATTGCCACACAAAATGGTATCTACCTGGCACTGAATCCATCAGAAAATATATGTTAATAATGATGATGAGGTGCCAAAAACCGGTCTGCATTTCTGCACAGGGTTTTATTGATGTCAACAATAGAACAATTATCTTCGTAAGTAGAGATCGTTTCATAATACTTATCCATGTGAAAATTAAAGCAAGTCAAATTCTTCATCAATGTTCATGAAAGTTAAATAAAAACTATTGTACGTTTATCTTATTAACAGCTTTCCCTCATTTTCAGTTGATACGAACCATATACTCATTTTATGCCTATCTTCAAGTGGTCACAGCTAGGCAGAAGTGAACCATGTGTAGAAGGTTATGAGCTAGTTGAAGAGGCCTTAATTAAGAGTTTTTTTTTATTGAAATTCACTTTTGTATGTAAAATTATTCGTTTATAATATAGAAGAATGAGATAAGAAATTCTGAATAATGCAAAACCCTGTGCATGAACCATTACGAACCATTTATGCATAATTTTGTTATGAGATTAACTATAATTTTTTATTGGTACCGCACTTGTTTGGTATTATTAGTGATTAGTATTGCTGAAATAAAATCTAATAATTCTACAGCAGAATTGGTCATTTGAATATTAAACTAACGTCGACTGGATTTATTAGTTATCTAAGTGGAATGTGGTAACTGCGAAGTTCTATACTAGCATCATGTTTTGTAAAAATGTTACACAAGGACGAAGTAAAATAACTTCAGGAAAATAAAAAAAAATGTGTAAAACAAAGAAAAAAACTAGAATTACAGCTGCTAGTTATATTGACAGTAAAAAAAAGGTTCTTTCAGGGAAAGTATTGGGTGATAGAACAATTTTGTCCCTAGTATTTTTAATAGCTGATAATATCAATATAATGGTAATGTTAAGGACAATACTAAGTCACAATAGGTGGCAAAATTTGCCAAAAAAAAAAAAAAAAACATAAAAATATCGTAATTTGATAAGAAAAAAATAGAAAGGTCTGATATATTCTCAGCCTATCTGCACATCGTTTTATCTGTTTTTTTCTATTTTACATGTATCTGTTGCACATGGTTTTTCTGTTGTTACGAAATTTTAGTTAATTTCGTTACACTCGCCTTTATCAGGTATGTATTATGCTTTAAAAGGAAAAGGGTAAGCATCTGTTTGAATCCGTTGTCTCACTTCAGCTGGTATGTGCTTCTATAGATTAATATACTCCATGATGTACGTTCTACACATACTTTTGGCTTCTATGCTTTGCGCAGTCGTGAGATTTTTGAAGTCAGCATTGTAAAACGGCAGACATTTCAGTTTAGAGACGAACGTTCTACATGTTAGAGGTAAGTGGGTGATTTAACGATTCTTTGGGTTTGATGAATGTTATAATAATCTGACTTTATTTTCGGTAATCGTTGGATATTTGGTTATTTCTGTTGAGAAATATTTGGTAGAATAACGAATTCTAGCTGTGTGTGATAATATTTTTGGTATCTTTATTTGATTAATTTAGGAATTACACATATAGAACGGATATTTTGGGTGCGGAATGGTTGTAGGAACGTACAGCTAGGCACTTATCCACCTGTTGCACGAGTGATAGAGACTATAGACTTCAATAACGGACTCGCCGCTGTGAAGAGCCATTTTGGTTTTCCAAGGATAGGAAAAATTTGTAGGCAGCCACGACGTCACCGAATTCCAAGTTCATGTAAGGTTCATTGTTTTTTACGGTTTATTTACCGTTGATTTAGTCAACATCTGTAAAACAATTCAAAACATTACCTGAATTTATCTAGGAATTATTTTTGATAGCTATGGCAAATATCTCTCGTTCCAGCTTGGAATTCCGTGTATATTTTGAGTGAAATTTTTGCATTTTCTTAGGTTTTTACACAGCTTGAATTTTGACTACGTTGGCAGATTTTCTCCACAGAGATTCACAATTTTTTGGTTTTTTGTTTAATTTATCGTTGAATCAACCGCTGACCGGGAACTATACTGCTGTCCTGGACAAGGGTGTAGTTTTGCCATGAACGTTCGTGTCGGACTCAAATTCTCTCTTATATCAGATAATAGCATAATTGGCTTTTGTTAAACAAAATTTTTGCTTAATTGTTAACCTTGGTACTCTGGTTCCATATACCGGGTGTCCTTTGTAATTTTGGTATCATAATATTATTTGAATTTTAATGTAATTAGTATCTTATATACTTAGGTTTCCATTTATTAATTTTAAATTAAGATTTTATACTAGTATGCCGTGTTTGCAAAATTTGTAAGTTTTACTGCTATATTTTGTAACCAAACGTCAAGTCTAGCTCTGTTACTATTTCTTGTTTGAACTTTTCATGCTCCCTTGCCAAGCCATTGACCTTAGAAGGAAGGAGTACCCGTGGAATCTGTCTTAGAGATTAAGTCTGTGGATCCCCTCGTTTGACGAAAGTATCGCTGGCCAGCTGACTCGAGTAGTCACCAAGCCGTGCACGTGTAGTCACCAAGCCGTGTGCTTAAGTCATCTACAGACCACCAGACAACAGACCACCAAATCTCATCTCCCCTGGATAACAAGGGCAAATTCCTTCCATACTTACGTTCTGGCCAGAAGAGGTGCTCCATCTACCGTTCTGAAATCTTGTAAATCAGAGCTAGATATTATTGCCTCAGAAGTTACTAGTTGAACACAATTTTTGCAACATTTATATATGTACCTGAATATTTTAAATATATCAATTTTATCTTAACCTAATAGGAGTGTTGTCTTTTCATTAGCTGGCGCCCAATAAACTGTTTTAAGGTTATGGTTGTTATAAACAAGGAAATCACGTACTCACGACTCTCCTGAGCTAGCTGGAGCTACGTTCTGTAAGCTCTAGGGGTAGTGGCCAATACAAACCCCCAGGGTTACATTGCGTAAATTGGCGCCCTACGTGGGGCCCGAACCCACGAACCTGAGATTAAGAGGCTCATGTTCTACTGACTGGGCTAGCCGAGCTACGTTCTGTAAGCTCTAGGAGTAGTTGCCAATACAAACTCCCAGGGTTGCATTGCACTGTTCAATCGATTTTTATAATTAATTCACTTGCAATAATTACCATCCTTTGAATAAAAAACCAACGTGTGAGGGTAAAAACATTTTTATAATAAATAATGCAAAATGTTTTCTGCTGCATCCAGCTTATTATTTGAATTATTTAAGGATAAATTAGTTTCTCCGTACCAGAATAATACCTATTATGTGATCAATAATAATTCTACTATTTTTAATTATATGGTAACAGTTTTTATTTTCATACGCACTGACAAACTTGAGGTACGTATATATTTAAATATATTTTATGGCGTCAACACATAAGGCAAATTCATTACAGTCACAGCTATGGAAGAACACTTCTATTGGGCTTTTCTGTCACTAACTGTTGTGGGCACCCCCTTTCACAAAGATTTACTCAAAACGTATACTGTTGTGAATCTCGTAGCCACAGCGCTTATTAACGTATTGGCTGTGATAAACATAGTCATCGACGGCAAATTGGAATCGCTGGAGATCATTGGAATGTTTTTTTCAGTAAGTATCAACTGAAAATGTATAATCCACTTTTAAACACTTTTGAAACACAATTAAAACTACCTATCCTAATCTGGTTTGACAGTAACCAGGCCGCGATCAAATTCTTCAACCATGTTACGTACATAGGTATCATTTCAGCGAGTATTTTATTAATTTCATATCTTATTCCATTTTTTGGACCATCTATACTAGTAGGCTTATTTACATACAAGCTATGTATTAAATAAATAATTAATAAAATAAAACAAAAAGAAATCCATGGGAGTTACGTAACATAAGGTGAAATGGGCTCGATTTATCCGGCCCGTACTTCGTTCAAATATTAATTTTAAATTACAAATGCGCCTTATATTATTTATTCTCAATTTCTGAAATTCTGGACAACTGTTGAGAGTGTGTTATGTCAAATAGCCGAGCAAATAGCTGAAGAACCTCTTGTGTCCGAGTGATTTTTTTAAATAAACTTTCCTTCATTTTTTTCGAATTTTAACATTTGATCGGCCGCCATTTTAAAATGGCTTGATAGTGAAATCGCGCCAAAATTTAGGATCATACCACGTGAAATAAGAGCTTTCAAATGATGTACCATAAGCCATATATTGTCATTTAAAAAAATAAATATCGATGACATCATATCTATGACAGCTGTCAATAAAAAAAAATTAAGTTCTTATGTCAAAATGTCAGCAAATGAAAAATTTTATTGACCTGTCCGAGCGTTCTTCCAAAAAAAATCCTTTATTTTCCGAATTTATGCGCGACTTTACGTTCTCACTGTATATTTTTTGAGGTGTCGCCAAAATCATGTCTTTAAAGAGTTTGGCTATAGTCCAGGCTAGATAGTTTATTTTTTTAAAAGAGTCCGGAAGGTTTCTCGGCGCGATAATTAGGTAAAAAAATAGTAGAAATTGATTGTGTATGTTTTGGATAAAATCGGTATATAGGAACCTTAGTAAAAAAAATCGATACAAGTGCTGAAAACAGGTTTTTTGCGGATTAAGGGACGAAAAATATTTTTTTTCGTAAAACAAAAAATAGCACGTCGTAGCGCTTGAAAAAAACGAAAAAAAAAAAACGAGTTTTTGGTGATCAAATCGGTTCAGAAGTTTTTGCACAAAAAAAAAAAACCGATGAAAAATGCCCATTTTTTGAAATCGAATTACAAGGGTTCTAATGGTGAAACTTCTGCTTCGGCTTAAATTGTAGCTTTTGGTCGTGTCTATCCGCAGTAAAAATTTCATGCAAAAAATAATAAGAACTTTTTTGCATAAATCGGAAAAAAACTAAAAAAAAAAAGGTCTTTTTCGGAAAACGGCTTGAACAAGCCGAAAAATGGTCGTAGAGCATTTTTCCTAGACTTAAATAACTCGTCATTAAATTTCCCTACAAATCCATTATCGTGACTTGTGGGAGAGGTTCATTCAATCGGCTGAAAAACGCGGTTGCAAAACAAGCGTCGCGTTGCTTCGAGCGCTCGGGTAAGCGAGTGAAGGGGAAGTGGACGCGTGGTGGGGGAAGCCTTGTAATTGGATTTCAAAAAATGGGCATTTTTCTTCGGTTTTTATTTTTTTCTGCAAAAAACTTCTGAACCGATTTTGATCACCAAAAACTCAATTTTTTCGTTTTTTCCAAGCGCTACAACGTGCTATTTCTTGTTTTAGGAAAAAAATTATTTGTCGTCCCTTAATCCGCAAAAAAAACGGTTTTCGGCACTTCTATCGATTTTTTTTACTAAGGTTCCTACATACCGATTTTATCCAAGACATACACAATCAATTTCTATTATTTTTCACCTAATTATTGCACCGAGAAACCTTATTCAGGACTCTTTTTTAAAAACTGAGCACTTTTCTGCTATATTGCCTGGATTATAATCCACGCGTGAATTTTGGTTCGTAAGGTAAAACAACAAATCTTGTTAATTAATGTATTCTTGTTAATTAATTTTAGATTTGGACCTATTACCTGTCCCTGTTGATAATGAGAAAGGAAATCAAAGAGGCCTTAAAATCACCCAGCAATTTTGGAAGGACAATCTTCGAAACAGCGAAAACAGAGACGTACAAATTTATTTCGACTTTTACAAATACCACCTGGGCTTTTTAGCTGTCAGCGGTATTACGATAATTTTGCAGACTGTGATTAGCAGTGGACATAATAGTACAATATTTAATTGTTACATTCCAAAAGGAGTGTACTTCTGGGCTATTTACGCTATAGAATTGTTTGTCTTCTTAAACATGTTCTGGGTATACGCTGGATTCAGTTTGCTTTTCTGCACCTTGATTTTGTTAGGGGTCTCGCAGTTCAGAATATTAAACCACAAACTGCGAAATTTAAATCTTGGAGGTATCGAAAATGAACATGACTTTGAAGAATGCTCGGATAAAATTAAAAAATACGTTAAGCACCACAGTTTGCTAATAAGGTAATTATTGTTACGAATTTCTCTTCAAATTAATCACTTCTCCAATTCAAACACGTTTATTAAGACTTTACAACTCGTCTAACTTAACTGTGTAACATTAATTAACACCATTTATATAGAGACATCCAAAAAAAACTTACTTGTCAAAACTGTCACATCATATGACAGCTATTGTTTATTTCACAAATTGTGACAGTCATTTGTCAAAAGTTTGACATAACCGAAAAGCTTAGACATGACCGCTATTTTTATCTCTCTCGTTCATAGCCACAGTTGATGACGTTTTTTTGGATGTCTCTATAGTATTACATGTTCTAGAAAATTCGTTTGATATCTAGAATATTTAATATGTCATTCCATATAATTATTTACTAACAGCTAGTGTATTAACTAAATATACTATATGATACACTATAACACTTAATAACTGTCAGCTGTCACTAATGACACTTAACAAATGTCAATTATTATTGTTGTTGCTGCAAAACATGTAAAGCATTAATACTGATTTTTTTAGATATGTCAAACTCCTAAACAAGATTTTGATGGGACCGCTTACCGCTTTAATGGCAGCAGCCACTATTCTTTTATGTTCAAATATGTACATAGCAACAATGACGTAAGTACATTTGACAGGTATAGGGTTAGTTTTATAAATGAATACCTCTTTGTACCTTTTTAACTGTCTTCGGAAAACTTGGAAGTATTATTCGTACTAAAATTATAAGTGTTATTTATTAGGTCCGTAGAATGGACGGATCCATTTTTCTACAGGATTTTAGTTACTAGTCTGTCATCCTTGATTCAGTTTTTCTTCATGTATGGACTGCCTGCTCAACGGCTCGTAGACGCGGTAAGAATTATCGCTGTGTACAAAAAAAAATATCTTTAGGTTTACATTAAATGCCAAAAGTTGTCTGAAGCAATCACTTGATGATATACCTCGTACTCTTTAATTTTTTAATATTTTCATGTTCAATATACTTCTTTTCATTAGTCATCTAAAACTGATCGGTTTTTTAGAAACTTACTATACCTATTTATTTTTTGAGGTGAATTGCACAGTATTAAAAAACAACTGAGATTAAGTTGGTTGGCTCATTGATCACGTGATCTAATATGGTGGCTTATGGAATCAAAGAAGCTGCAACCGTTGCAGCACTTCAGCACCAACCACCAATTCAGCATCAACCGAGTCTGCTTACGTTGTTTGCAAAAACATTTAATTTCAGGCTGAAGCCGTTGGAGATAACATATACGTATATTGCGAATGGGACATTGAAAATATTATTCCAATTATAAAGTCCCTTCAATTAATGATTTGTGCAAGTCAAGGCCCAGTGTCTATTAATACAATTATCGGCACCCCGATTGGTTATGCGACTACACTTTCAGTAAGTGCGCTTATAAGTTTAAAGATTATAATAAGATGTTTAACAGGACCGTAATCAGTTAATTAATGCAGACACTGACATTGACAGCGAATATACATTAGATATTAAACCCAGTAATAATATTTATACTATAGCCCAGTTGTACCCACTTCATGAAGGTATTGAAACCAACATAGATTGCATAGGTCGTAAAAACACAGACAATCCATTGAGACCAAGAATGTTGCGTTATCTTTCATTCTCTTTCCATTACACAGCACCACAAAAAAAAAAAATTGAAATGTACCTCTGACCAAACTTGGTGGATTATGGTTTTTTTGGGGTCGCTGAATCCGAATCCGAAACCCGTTTGGCCCCATCACGTCATTTTTTTATCCTCAATAAACTGCGGAAAATTGGCAAAAAATGACAAAAATACTCTAGAACCCAATCAAACCTCATAACCCAATACTTCAATAACTTCATACTTCTCATCCCATAGCCCTCACAATCAATAAGCCCCAAAGACGATTTTTCCGCAGTTTATTGAGGATAAAAAAATTGTGAGGTGAAGAGGTGATGAGGTAAAACGGGCTTCGGATTTGGATTCAGCGACCCCAAAA